CAGGCAAAAGACAAGTTTCAGCAGAGGCCTGGTTCATCACCAAATGACAAGCCTATTGATAGCAACTGCTAGAGCAGTACACAACCAGAAGAGCAGGTGGGAGAACAGACTTCCATTGTGGGTGTTTTTTTCAGTAACTCAAAACTTCTCTCTTTATGAGGCATAGACTAACTGCAACTTCCTGGTTATCCATATAATACTGATTTACTACTTATCAAGCCCCACCTTGAAGTCAGCCAGTCTTCCTGGTGATTATTCCAGAGCATTTCCCAGAGATAGGAAGGGTTATTTTGTTAACTGAAATGAGTACATCCCTTTGTTTTTCTTTAGAAGTATGGAGATAGCAGAAATAGAGAGACATAGGATTGTTTGCCACCATATTTTTCCCCCCTTTTATCAACCAGCTCAGACTGACTATTAGGACCCTTTTCCAGATGATTATATCCAAATACTTGATGAAGAATAACATATTTTAGAACACAATCTCAGTCTTCTTGGTCTTTTTTCAGTTTAAATGCTGAACATCAACTACACAAAAGCTGAAGCCCCCACAACATCTGGGTACATTTAACAGAAGAATCGAACAAAACCACATTTAATTGCTGTCTATGTTTTCACTTCCTTTCTCATCAACACTAACTGCAAAATGTGTGTGTAAATTGGGACTTAATTCTGACCCTCCCAGTCAACATCTGACTAATCTAGAAGTCTGTCATGCTTTCTCATCACCCTTTTATCTGACTGTTAATCACATAGCAGACAGTTCCACTGCTGAACTGTGTTTGGATTAGGGGTGGGGCCCAATTCAAGGCCTTTAAACTAGATTCCCAGATCGTACTAACTTTGCTGGCAACAGCATTTTTTTCTGATGTAAGGTCATGGACACAGGAGCTTCAGTTAATACAAAGATGTAATTAAAAAGAAAGCTTAACATCCTGAAGCTATGTTACAGTACCAGTTCTTAACACAGCAGAGGCTTTGGAGTGTTTCTTCCAGCAGAAGTAAGTCCTTAGCAGTAATGGAGCAAGACAAGATGCTATCTGATGAAAGACAGTTAGATCACACCATTTGCTCAAGGATGAAAGGGGCGGGGGGGGAAGTATGCAAATGCCACCATGGAAAAACTAAGAGTTGTACTTTTTTGCACAAATCACAGCCTTGCTTTGTTTGGCTTCAGACACTTGGATGTTTACTGAAGCAGAATGTCTAGATGCAGATATTTACGTGAGGCTCTTAATTGTGTTAAACTTGGGCTGAAACCTGATGAACCAGTACTTTCCCGGATAAGCATACAAACAGGATGTTGAAGGTGGGATCTGTTTATGCATCAAGGAAAAGGGTAAGTGCCATGCTTAAGCCAGAGCATGCAGCCTTCAGCAAGACAATTGGGACTGTGTTCGGCAAATCACATAATTCCCACAGCCGCTGCAGCTCCTCCCAGGAACTGCAGAGTCCATGCCATGGCCAGGCAGGACCCAGGGCACTGTTACTCATCCACTAAGCTCAGAAATGTGTAAAGCTGGTGAGCACTTTAAAGAGTGACTCAGTACAGTTACAGTCTCCAGGGACCTTTTACTGCTAAGGATATGAATGAACAGGGATTGCAACTGCACAAAAGCCCATTGCCTCAGCAGAGACATTTGTTCAGAGCACTCGTGTGGCAAAACAAGCAACTACTTGAAAAGGAAGCAGTTTAGCTGATTGTATTTCCTCTCTGTGATAACTGGGCTGGGCTTGCTGATTCAGAAATCATTCCAGACTGAATTCCTTGTTGCCCCTTGTAGCATTTGTTGTAAGGGTATCTCCTTCCTCCCACCCCAGGGGATGCTGAGCAGGGAACCACAGAGCCAGGCTGGCTTTAACAGCCAACTTTCTCTCAGTGGAAACAGCTCACTTATGGACTAACCTTAGCGGCTCCAGAAGCTACTGGCCTGAACCTCTTCTCAGCAAGCTCACAGACAGCCCAGTCTAATGCTTCTTATGCTACTGGAGCACACACTTGTAGATGCTGTCCTTTGGCTTTATCAGGAGTGAACTGAACCCTTGTGCCAAATCTTGCTTCAGGTCTGTGCATTCTCCAGGGCAGTGGGACAGACTTCCAAACACCCAGACGTGGGCCTCTCCAAACAGATTGTGGAAGAGTCATTGCTGCTTAAAACAACCATCAAGATGAGTTTAGAGATGCCAAGTGGATTCCTCAGCATCATTTTGTTTTGGCAATGGTAGCTGTTACTGCAGTGCTTTTATTCCAGAAACTAAACTGTTGCTTGCTCAATGCTAATACTTTTACTTTGAATCTTGGGTGGAGCAATTAGCAGTTGGACTTGACTGGCAATGACCAGCAGGGCTCACCCTGTCCCATCTATAAAGGATTTAGGCCGAGGAGTAGGTATGAAGCCAAACCCACAACAGCTGAGCTCTGTTCCCAGTGGGGCTTCACATGCTATACAAGCTGCTTGAGCTGCTGGTCTCTGCTTCAGTACTTCAGCCAATAAAATAGCAGATACTTTACAGTCTTTGAAAAGATGTGGGCAACTATAAAATATGTTTGTGTAGCAGAAACAATCATCTGCCCTCTGAAAAAGGGGCCCTTCCAGGATATTCCCATAACTTGACTTTTCTCCCTGCCTTTTTTACAATACAGCGTGCCTTGGCATTGCTCTTTGGTTGCAGAAGCTGCATTTCAGAGGTGAGAGGCACTCAGGAACAAGAGTTAGTCCAGTGTGCATACTAGTCAGTGGGGAAAAAAGCCTGTTGGTTCAGTCTTAAAGCCCAAGCTTCTGGTCGAGACAGAGCATGATTGGAGCTCTGTGTCCCAAGGTACAGCCCAGCTAATTACTATAATGCTTTAAGTTTTGCTCGTTTTCATCTCATCGCACTTAGGACTTCAGATATACTCATGGAGTGTCAGGACTGTTAGGAATGAACACTGGGCAGCAGGACATTTGGTGCTGAACAGGAGCATCATCTGGCTCATTGCATCCAGAGGAAACACACATATTTAGGTACAGGAAAATACCTGTACCGGAAAAAACTAGCTAGCAGCAGAACCCTGCTCTGCCCACTGCATTTTCTTCCTTCCCATACCCTTACAGCTTTCCTAGCGTGCCTGCTTCTGTGCCTCTCCCACAGATGAATATTTCTAAACAAGTTTCTCACGTGCTGCATTTTGAGTTTTGGTTTCAGTCCCTGTATCCCAGAGCCATTAAACACCAGCAGTTCCTCTTTAGATGCCTCAGCATGGACAGTCTGTCAAACCAGCCAGGACTAACTCTAAGAGAAAACTATTAAGATATTCAGCTGGTGTTAGCCAAAGCTCCGAAACATGCTCTAATGTTACAGTCAGAGTCTCCCCTTACAGCACGAACAAGGCCGGCTCTCTCTGCACTTCCACATTCTGCACATTCCCCAGCTCTGGGGCTGGTTTCAGCTGAGGCGGAGGAGCGGCTCTAATGTTACACAGTGCAGTGCTTGGCTCCTTGGTGTCCCACACCTGTCGGAGGGGCTTGCCTTTTCCTGGAAATAGCTTCCCTCGCAGCATTTGAGGCATTGCACAATTGGAGGTAGTTCATTCGATGCTCCTGGGAGACAACAGTGAAAGGCTCAGCTGTTCATTTCTTGCCCTCTGACAACACATGAGACAGAGAGTGCTCAACAAAAAAAAGTCTTCCATCTGCTGATTCATGGTAACACATGAATCCTTTTTCTTGCAGACAGCCGTGGCTGTGGTACAAATAATACCACCAGCTGATGTAGTCAGAGCTTCCCAGAGACATGATAAAGAATCTAGGGTGGACTTCTGAACTAAAACAAAACCACAGGCTCACCCTCTGCCTTTGGGCTCAGGCAGGGTACACAGCAGGTCATGAGATGGAGGGGAGGCCCTCCTGCCAAAGCACCCCTTCTGCACTGCCACTGCCTCCTGCCCTGCCATAAGCTGCCTGCTTAAGGGCCCCCACTCCCAATGACAGCACCTTCCAGGTCTTGTATTAGCAAGGAGTTAGTGTGCACATGTCATGTGCTCAGGCCCCATGTATGAAAGCCAGATGAACGTTTATCATCACTTAAAAAGTCAGGCCCTGCTGCAGAGAAACCACCAAATCAGAAAAGCCAGAGAGGACCTCTCTCTCCACAAGCTGTTTTGCTCCCTAATGACACAGTGGACTGAAAAGACATGGACTCATTTTGTTTCACAGAGCTGTCCGTACAACTTGACTCATAACACTTATGTCTTTGAGAAGGAGCAGTATCTAGCAACAGACCACACGATCCCCTGGAGCACAAGACATGGAGGAGCCAGGAAAAAAGACTTGAAGTCCTGCAAGGGTCAAAGCTTTAGGTCCTCAAGCCAAATCACTCTGACCTGGTCCAATCCATCCACAATCCTTCTGTCTCCAGTAACTTGGTGCTTCAGTAGTCGGCGTCGGGGCAGCAGACAGAAGGGGAGGATCTGTTTTTTGCACACTTTGCCTAAATGGAGATTGCTTTTGTTTTCCTCCTTGAGGTACAAGGGCTGTAACAGGGACAGACCATGCCCAGTTTTAGCAGCTCCATGCAGAAGTTCCAGGAAGGATTTAAAGCGCCACAGACTTGTTGCCTTGAAATTAACTCTGCACCATTACTCAGACCGGGCAGCACGGATGAATGTGCTAATGAAGTGCTTCAGAAGAGGGTTGCAAGGTCCAGATTTTTCTGTTAGTCACTAGTGACTGCAGGGCAGTTCCTAGTAGCGTGTGGTTATAGCATTTAATGCAGTTAGTGCATTTAGTCTGAGATACCTCGTGGCTGCTCTCTCCACAAGAGTCAGGGTGGGAACGGAGGTGGTGAGGTTAGTGTTGTCCTGCTTTCCTTCCTAGAAAAGCAAAGATACGAAGATGTACTCCAGTGAGTACACCACCACTTTTTAGATCAGTCTAGATCTTTCACCGAGATCTCCCCCTTTGGCCCCAATAAGGGAGGTAGAGGTGCAAAGCTTAACAGCTATTTCATTCCTGTTACAGATACAACATCCCAATAGGCCTGCATGCCAACCTCTCCGAGGGCACTCCTGTATGTGAGGGGCTCAAGACAAACTCTTCTCTGCTCAACCAAGACGGATTCTTCCATGGGAAAATGGGATTCAGAACAGCTCTATCAAAAGGTCTCCTGAATATGTCGGAGGTAGGAGAAAGCCACATACAACCATGCAACTTGCTTTCCTGATACAGGTCAGCCTGCACTTACCCCAGCACATAACAGCTGAAGATCCTTCCCAGGTCCCAGCTGAGAGTAAGCTTCGAGATTAATCTTGACTGTGTTGCCTGGGCAGCTGGAGCTGGCTTACTGGGTCCTGGGCCTAATTCTTCCAAAGGCTCTGCAGCCTTTCAGAACTCATTCCTCCCTGCTTCAGTGCCTGCATATGCTAATGTCCTGTTAACTACTTATCTGAGGGGGGCAGAAGAGGTATTGGAACAGATATTTACAAAAAACCTAGCGATCAATAAAGCAAAAATGCCAGAGAAGTGCTAAGTAGGCAGCAGGCTTTTCATCACCTTGGGAGAGGTTTGTGTTCTCTAGGGAGATGGGTGGTTTTGCCCCATGAGCAAGAATGAATGTGTTCAGGTGATCAAAACTGCCTATGGGATATGAGCACCCATTTCCCCATTATTTTTGAAGGGAAATGGGTATTCAACTATCCTAGGTATTTTAGAAAATCCCTGTGTCAGCACCACCCACATAACCGGTACGATAAAGAGACCCATGCCGAGGGGAGGTTCTGGGCACGCCAGCAGCATTGCACGTCCATTTCCACATGACAGCACTGTGTGCCTCCCAGGGCGAGGTCCCAAGTACCGGCCAGCAAGAGCCTCCAGCAGCCCCCTTGCCCTCTCCTGGTCTCAGCTTGCTGACAGGTCTTGCTCTGACGCTTCTCTGCTGTGCAGGTGAAGCAGGAGCTAAAGGCCCAGGTGGAGCTGTTCCGTGAGCTGACAGGTCACCTACCTCCTCACATGGATGGGCACCAGCACATCCACGTCCTCCCAGGTAAGAAGGGGGTCTTCTTCCCAGCGCTGAGCAGGTGAGAGGGTTGGAGAGTCAGCTCAGAGGGGACTCCTTTTGCCACAGCTCCCTGTTTGGGCAATAAACCTCACCGTAAAATACTTGCTCTACAGTTGCAGTTGGAATGTTCCCACCTGGGCCTGGGGAGGCAGTCCTGCCCTGGCCCAAATTGGCTCCTTGGTGACCTGGGTCTTCCTGTAGCAGCGCAAGGGGATTAATGACACAAATGGCCTAGGTTACACCTTCTCCTCCAAGGACCGATAATTCACCTCAGCATCCTAATTCCATGCTCCTGCCCACATTGAAGGAGGCAGACCAGGGCCAGCAGTAGACTGGCCAGTTTAAACTGGAATGCTTGAGTTTGCAAAAGCTGGTAGCTTTTTCAGGTGCTACAAGAACTTCATCCTGTCAGTTCTGTTTCCACACCAGTCTCTGTCTGCAGGTCTCAGCATGCTTTACAGAGAGGAGCAAGTATCTTTTGGCCCTGTTTTGCAAATAAGGTCATTGTGGTACAGAGATAGAAAACTGAATGAGCAAAAAAAGAAAATCCAGATTTCCCCACTCCGGCACTCAGATGCCTCTGCATGACAGTGGTCTTGGCAATTTACCCTCACAACAGATCTGGTTGTGCAGGCCCTTGATGAAGAACTTGATCCTGATAGTGCAGTCACTTCTGGTGCATTCCAGGACCAGAGTCACGAACTTAGAAGGGGTTGCTGGACTAAATGCTGAGTGCTGAAGGGAAGACAAGGCACCTACAGCAGAAGTTGTTTGGGGAGTAATGTTTCCAGTGTAGAAGGGGACTCCTATCCAGATAAAGAAAACCATTTCAGCAGAAGATAAACCAAATGGGATTATATTTTCTTAAGCATGGAAAGATGTCTCTGTGCTAACAGCTTGCAGAGAACGTGATGAGCTGGTTATCCAATTCCTGACTATAGTGTCACTGTTTTTACTTACAGAGGTCAGGCACGTATTTGCAGAGGTGTTAGAGGAATATGGGATTAAGTACACTCGTGTCCCAATAGAGCCAGGCCTTCATAACTGTGACTGGATCCCACCATCCCTGATGGACTTTTACTTGGGAGTAGAAGAAGACTCTTTTAACACAGTGGATGTGTTTACAAGGCACGGAATAAGGTAAGACAGGCATTGCTCAGCCTTTTTTTTTGTAGTAAAGCTTTAAGATCTCAATTCCTGATAGCATCTTCTCTGAATGGAACACCACCTTGCTCTTTCCACTTTGGTGCTCACAGGAAGGTTCAGGAGGAGTTCAGAAGTGCTGGGGGCACTAGGGCTTAATAAGAAGTTTTGAAGGGAGATGACCCACTTCTCACCTGAAAGGGGATGTGCTTTTCAGGGTATGTTTCTCAGCCTTTCTAGCAAAGCTGCATTGCCCTGACATCCGGGATGGTAGGAGGCTGAAGTGCTGTATCAGCACTGGAATTTTAAAAGTATGATCTAGGGCAAGTTTTCAAGAAATAACTTTTCATCTCCCCAGGATAGTGGAGAAAGGGTTTTAAGTAGCAGGGAAGGGACTAATTAGAAACAAGTGTCTGTTGTTAAGGGGAGGCAAGAAGCTCATAGAGCTTGCAGTGCCACAGCAGGTGATCGCTGCTCTAAGCAAACAGTCCTGTCAGCGTCCTGCATCACAGGGGCCAAACCCAAAAAGCTCAGCCCTTCCCCAAATAATATACTTTTCTTAAAAAGCTCAGTCAGTGTTTTATGGATTAAAGACATTTCATTTGAGACCCTTGCAGTTGCAGTCACCTGTCCTTTGGGGCAGATTTCATTACTTTCTCAGCCTACTGAAAAAGTTCTTTTCTGGGAATTTTTTTTTTTTTTTTTGTACCAGTTTTCCTGAACACTAGCACCAGGCTGGCATTTCACTGTGCTCTTTCCAGCCAGAGCACACGGACTGTCCTCGAACAGCCCATTTCTGAGGGAGAGAAAGGCATGGCAACTCACAGAGCAGTTCACCAGGAGAGAGTAACCCTCCTGTTAGGGCAGTTTCACAACAGGGGCAGTGCAGGGGAGCTTAGTGGAAATCCCCCACACTCCAGGGCTCCTCGTGCTACCGAAGGGGCAGGGGTGGTGCCGGCCTACCTCTGAGAATCTGCTGCTCCAGTGATCCACCTCTGCAGGGGCACAGGGAGGAACTCGTGGGGCCACCTCCGGGACCTGCATTTATACCTCCTGCTTGGATATGCACTGTGCTCCACCTCACTTCCTGGCGTCAGGGTAGGAGACGAGGGACAAACTCTTACAAAAGAAACATGTACCACGAGGAAACCCAGGAAAATGAGAAGAGCGCGGTCACCTGAAGTCACAGGGAACCCAACTCTGCAACTCAATTTCAGCATTGGTGCAAAGAGGTGCCATGCTGAGCCCCTGGACTTCAGTTTATGACACTGGAGAGCACAAGACCATGCTTACTGCACAGTAACGAGGCATTAGCAAGTTTAGTCAGTTTACAGTCAAAAAAAGCTAAATTTTTTTTCCTAAGAAGTCCTGCAAACTCTTCTCAAGAAAAGCTGTGTTCAGCTGGGCTCTTCCTTGATCATGCAGGTGAAGACTCCAGCCCTGGTTTCTTCCAAAAATGTGCTCATTCCCCCCCTTGCCCACGCTCGCACAGCCCTCCTGGGCTTGTGCGTGCCACGCTAGAAGAACTGAGGTTTGCAGCCAGACTTGGACAAAGAACTGTGTTGAAGCTAGATAAGCAACAGCCTCTAGCTGGTGTCCTCTTGGCTGTGTGGTCTTTAGCAGTAACATTTTTTGTCTTTATTAGGGTTCTTTGATACATGCTAGCAGAACGCTTTGTTAGCAAGGTGGTTTCCATTTTATTTCAGTCACTTTTTTTGTTTTCACTTAGCTGAGAGTTGTTATCTGGAGATGGTTATTATTCAGGTTTTAATTGCTTTAGTAATAGCAAGTTATTTTGATAGCGTGGCATTTCTCAGTTGAGCTCTGCTCTTCCCTTTTCTGCCAACAACACGCACCTGTTTTGGCTCGCAGATGCCAAACCCTTGTGCTGTGACACAGTGCACGTAAATACAGTAATAAAAGCAGTACTGGTCCTGGGGCTTTGCTGGGACTTTCTGTCAGACTGAAGAACTGCTGCTTTAAATAGTATGCTGGTTTCAGTAAGGAAAGAAAAAGCACTACTGGCTTGTAGTTCTGGTTTTACTATTGGTTAGAGTTAAAAGTTTTAAAATCCCCCCTCCCCTTTTCTATCTTAAGTTTTAGGTAAATTTTGACTCCTGATCCACTGGATCTAACACACTCTTTTCTCACTACCTCATTAGCATTAATATCAGTGTTCCCCCCTCCGGCTACAGGTGGCCAGACATTTACATAGGTTTGAGCACCATGGGCAAAAACATGTCTGTCAGTAACATCTGGAGCGCCATCGACGCTGCCATCGTGGGGTTCACGTCCAAGGCGCCCTTGCCTGCACACCCGACGCCACAGGGCAGGACGGTAACAATTGAACTGATGGTGCATCCAGGGTACCCGAGTGTCCCCCCCGTCGGCGGCTGTGGGGAAGGACCAGATGACTTCTCACAGTCCTGGGAGCGCCTCCATGAACTCCAGACATTAATTAAGCCAGAGCTGCAGAGCCATTACAAAACCAGGAACATTCACCTTTGTTCATTCAAAGATCTTTGAGTAAACAAGCAAACATACAGACATTTATTCGTACTCTGAAGACGGGCAGTTGCTAATGTCCCAAGAAGCCAGACCACTGTTACGAGTGTGATACCTGCTGGTGCAGCCGGCAGGGGCTGTGAACAGCCTGGGAATGGCATTAGGATGTTCACTGAAGAGCAACACCCTGTGAGCAGCTACAGGCAGTACCCCAGAGCCCTGACTGGCAGTTTTTTGGCCACAGCATCTGCTCTGAACGTGACAAACCTCTTCTGCATCACCCACTTGCACGCCATTCCAGCGCAGCATGGCAGCGAAGGCCCAGCTCTCCTCCCAGGGCTCGGTTCCTGCCAACGCAATGGTGAGCAGCACGAAGACACGCTTTGCTGGGACACCAGGGAGCACACCGGCACCTTGAGGGTTCTAACTTCTTTTTGGACTTAACTGCAAAACCAGAAACGCGCTGGGGAGCAAGTGCTGCTTTAGAGCAACTGCTCGGCGTAGGTTGCCCATGAGAGGCCTGGCAACCTTTGGCATTTGGTTTTCTTAAAGCAGTCAGTTGCGGTCCCTCCCCTTCCACTCGTACCTGCTCATTGCTGGTGAGGGGCACGGGGGGACGTCACCTTCAGAGCGTTTCTCTGCTCACAGCAGGCAGATCACGGGTTTAGCACGGTGGCATCTGCAGCCATATTCCACATACAGCCTCAGCCAGCGGTAATTACGGCTCTTCCTATTTACATTGCCTTTTGGCACTAAGCCACCATAGGAAAGTAACATCAGCCACAGCCCTTTCAGAGAGGCTTTTCTTTTTTGTGACTTTGCAAGAACAGCAACTGTTGACCCATCTACTATTTCAGTAACTGCTGCATATGAGAGCTCACCAGCAACTGTTCCTGTGCTGCCCACTGCCGCTCATGAAAAATGCGTGGGATGGCTGTGTACCAACTACGAGCAAGTTTGCAAGTGCAGAAGGCCCTTGTATTTGTGCGTTTTTATTCCTGTCACTATTCGAAGTTCAACAAGCCCTGGTAATACCGGTATGTTTAACTGTTCTTAACTGTAGTCCTGTCACTCACATATAACTTTCACATGGGAAAAGAATATTTTAAATTGCTCATGCTCATTTTCTGGGCAAGAGTGATCTATTTAATGTAATAATTTTTGGTTAACCAATTTTCTAATGTGAAAAATTTCAATATGATCATCGTTCTTTTAAATGAAAAATAAACTGAGGTCTTTTTCTATTGTAATGCTTCAGGATGCATTTGGTTTGTTACAGCTGGAGAGCACACTAAGCCCAGTGACCTCGTGCTTCCGCGGCGACTGCCTGCGGAGTGCTGAAAGGACGTCTCTTTCTAGCATTGATGGGAACTGTCTGACCTTCCCTAGAAAACACCCGAGCGTTTTTGTTCTGTACAAATATGAAAAACAAAATCAAGGATGCTTTAGAAAATATTTTTCCTGGTTCTTTCCTAAACTGCTGTAACAGAATTCATTTGATATACGACAAGTTTGTTTTTAACAAACCCCATCCATGGTGCTGGGCAAGCGCTACACCACACAGCCGCGTCAGAGGAGAGCAGTAGTTACCTTTCGGAATGACTCCGTTTCCGAAGCTTGTCCCATCGCTGTCTGGCGGCAAACTTCCCGCTGTGTGGTAACAGAATAAAAACCCCCAAGAGGGACCAGACCTGCAGCAGGCGGCTGAGGTTTCGGAGCCCAGGTATACCCGTGAGTGCCATCTAGTGACTCGTCGTGTTTTATTCCCGTGCAGGGATAAGCCTGACAGCAACACCCATTATTTAATACCAGATCTCAGCTTTTTATGTCATGCGACTGTATTTTGAGGGCTATTTTTTAAATGTCAAAAATAAGGTTAAATTGCTCCATATTCTAACCAAGGAATTTCCTCTGATCGCAACCACCAGGACGTTACACACCTGTTGACTGTTCTACACATTTTCTGCTAGCTGAACACCAAAAACACGACAGCAGTCTTACCTCTGTATTGCGAACAAAAAAAAAAAGTAGTTTGCAAATTCCATATTTTTAAGTGAAAGGCATTAAACCCCAAATTTTCTTTTAAAAGAAAGGGAGTTTTAAATGGAGAAATGAATAAAGAACTACTAAAAGACTTCTAAATAGGGAACCTTTCAATTGCATAAAACGTAGAGAGATAAGGAAGGAAGTTTCTCAGTGGTTCTGTGAAAGCTTTAAAGACAACACCGAGTTCAAATTAAAAACACGTTCAGACCACTACCTACGAATGGCACCGTACCAGGATACTTAAGAAAAGAAGTCTAACCCCCAAATCTCTCTGAAAATAAAACCATGCCACAAAGCCTTGGAGAGCAATTTTTATTAGGGTAGCAGAATGGAATTGCAGAAAAGCCTATACCAGTACTCCTGGGTGTAGTTTCACCAGCAAGTTGCTTTTATTTTTGATATTAAACTGCACATTTAGATTTCAGCATGGCTTAGGGAACCAGAGAGAACGAGAGCTTGATTTCCTGAGTTAATGTAGGACTTTGTACTTTGATTTTTTTTTTTTTTTTCCTCTCCTCAGACTTCAACCATAGAGTACAGCATGTGATCTCTGTCTTTTTTCCAGAGGGCTGCCTAGGAACAAAAGCCATCCCTTAGGTTACGCATCTCGTAGTTTAGAAATTGAACTATGCAGACGACACCCAGAGAACCGATAGCAATATCTGTCTTCTATGTGACCTTTGCAGATGAAATCGGAATAGCTGGTATAGCGCTGCTGTAGGCCTGTACGAATCGACTGGAGTTCCTTGAATTACACAGCCCTTCCAGGTCCCTTTCAACGGCATCCACGTCACACTGATTCAGATAAATGCAGTCTTTGACCTGAGAGGCTTACAACCAGAAAGTATACTGTTTAGTAGTAACGAGGGCAGCAAACTAGTGCTACAGTTTTGTTTTAAATAAAAAGAGAATTTTGAGAATGGCAAGTTTCCATGCCAGCAGACATGATCAAAGGGTACAGTGACTCATGTGATGCAGAAGTTACACACTTCAGTTTGACAGATAATTTGGCATTATTTTATTATGAATCTGAGTGAGCGTGAATGAAACAAAATCGGTACCAACTTTCTGCAGATGAAGACACAAAGATGTGAAAATTTGGTAATAGACAGTGCTCTCACAAGCCTGAAAACACTTCGGAAATGCAAGTTTCTGTAAATAAGGTGAATGTGGTTTAACTTTATTTACCTGCCAAAGAATCTGTCTAAGAACGCTTAAACATAACATTTCTTAGCTCCCTAACTTATAAAAAAATTTACTTTCAACAGAGGTGAGGTACTGGGCTGTCATTGTTTACACTAAATCGGAAATGAAAGCTGGGTAAGAGGGATGAATGAAGAAATAGCAAATATACAAGACATTAAAACCAAAAGAGACCTACTGCTTGACACACTAGTTCTGAAAGGTTGCAAAGGCAGAGGCTGTACTGAAACTGAATTTAGGAGCAGACAACCATCTGGGTGCGAGGGATTTTCTAACGCAACTTCCTGCAGATCAAAATGATATGTGCTCCCAGGTACCTATGGATTTCTGGAGATAGATCTGTTTGCTCAATAGCATACCCAAGTTCAACAGGCGGGGAGGAGACGGCAGTTTGATTGTATGGCAGTTTGACTCTGGAGCTATGATCACGCTTTAGACTGGGGAAAAAAAAAGACAGGCAGTCAGGATAAAAGCAACAGAGACAGTCAAGGATGCTCAGTTCCGAATAGAAAGGGCTTCCTTCAGCATGCGCAGGTGTGCCCTGGAGCAACGGGAAAACAGCTCTAGCTGATTAAGTTAGAATGATAGAATGATACTTGAAGTACTCATTAAATCATCTAACCTGTGTGTTTTTAAGACATAGGAACGGTAGTAGTGAAGCGTGCTCTATTACAGGTTATTGCTTAATCCTATTCTCCTACCATTTTCAGTAGGAACTGTACAGCAGTTGGGCCGGGAAGTGGCACAAGTGCCATCCCATAAAACATGGATGCTTCTTACGCATTCTGATGGAAAAACGTTCCAAGATGACCAGCAGTGCTGTCAGATTTAGTACTTGAATTCAAAATTAACATTTCCAAAATACCAATTTTTAACTCAAAAACCAGTTTACCACACTTTGGTACCTCTTGGTCCCCAGTTTCTGAAACTCTTCCAAACTGGTTGCAATGTTGTTCTGTGCATGTTTCCCGAGCTACTCTGCATAGGTATCAAGAACAGAAGTGAAAGAAGTTTGTAATCACATTCCACTACTGGTTTGCTACAGAATTTTTCTTCCAAAGTTTTCCAAAAGGAGGACATAAGCCGTATTTTTAATTCAATGACGCACACAAAAACTTGGGTTTCCCCGTTTAATAAACATTTTGTGGTAACATCAGCCAGATTTACATAAGACCTGGACATTAGTTCTGATTGTTTTTGTGGGGTTTGTTTCTTTTTTGTTTATTATGTTACAAACTGAAGTTAAGGGGAACTTGTACCAAGTCCCACAAAGCACAGTGCAACATTTAAAAAGAAAAGTAAACAAAACTGCCAAACACTCAATCATTTTCTGCCAGAACTGGGATATTTTTTTCTAAGACATCAGTTTGGGGAGGAGGATAAAATTCAATGAAGAATTAAATGAACTTAAGATAGTGGGAACTGCAAGGAGAAGTAAGAAATGACAGCCACAACCTTTTCAATTTAAGGGCAGAATATAAGTCTAAGATATTTTTGATAAATTCTGACAAGAAAAAGAAAACAGCATACTTTAAAGTATATTGAAGCAGTGATTTTTAAACAAAGAAAGCAGAACTAGAACATCTTAAATTTTAATCCTTTCTTTACAGGTTACCTAGCCCACTTTTGATTAAGAAAACTGTAGAAAGTTAGTAACAGCCACAAGTTAACACCGAAAGGTGGCACTTTTCAATTTTCCATAGAGTCCTGCTTTACGGGGTGTCTCAAATGCACTGCTCCGATCTTCTATCATACGTTGCTGACATCAATTG